TATCTAAGTCTCTCTGGAGAGCCTCCCTATTAATTAACGAGGCGACCCCAAGAACTGGCTGAGGAGAGATAGCAAAGAGCCAGTGCCTAAACCTTCAGGATGATGATGATATGTAACGACAGGGCAGGCGGGTTTTCAAAAGAACTGCTAAGATTTATAGTTGTGACACAGCACTTAACGAGGAGCATGATTACAAAGAAATGTAAACAGACAAAAGTAGTTACACCAGGCACATCTGCTGGTTAGTCACTGTCTCACAGAAGCCAGTATTTGTTTTATTGAAAATAAAACAAGATACAAAGAATGACAAACTTACGTCTTCACCAGGTTTGCCCGGAGGTCCCTCTGGTCCACGAGAACCAACCGGACCCTAAGAAATAAATAGATTTGTGAGAAGTCAGTTTAGCCATCACTAAAATACCTATTTGCTCCATTTCAAAGCCTGGTTTTACAAAAACAAGTGTAGGAAAAGCATGATTCTATGTCTAAGCACACGTAATTTTGTAGTGCTTTTTCTAACCCTCCTGCCCCTAAAAACCCGAATGCTAAATAAAAACACAGGACAGATTCTTTTGGATGAAAAAAACCAACAAAAATCTCTGCATAAAATACCACAGTTGCTGTTGTTCCAAATCTCTGGCTCATGCTTTTAATTTCAAATCTTTTTATCATTTCCAAAAAGTAAATATTCTCATAAGTTACAATACCAGGTATGGTTTTACCAGTGCTTAGCCAACCTCAGGTCTGTACTGGAAAAGTCATAATGACTGTTTACACCATAGTTAATATTATATGTGTTCAAAACAATTCAAATCCACTGATTCAAAGCAACACGCTTTGAGCACCACAACTCTTAGCTGAAGTTACTTAACAGCTTCAGTCGAGACAACATGAAAAAAAAATCTGCTCTGAAATAAGGAGGTATAATATATTGTTGGCAATTTTATTGTAAAAATGTTTGTATTTATTGGTCTTACCATAGGTCCTGGATCCCCAGGTTCTCCAGGTGGGCCTGTGGGGCCAGCACCACCCTAAAATTAACCGAAGACGAACACAGTTACAATCTCCAAAAAGTAAAAACGTAAGGATATGAATTAAAACCCACGATCGGGAAAATGCCAGCCCGTGGACAGTGTGGATTCTAATTCAGAATCACCTCACACTGTGAAATGAGCGCAAGCTGGATACTAAAATCCCTTGGGCTGGAGGTAAGTCCTGTGCCACCCCCAAACTCGCTGGAAACTTAACCCCAGGTGCATACTGACAGAAGAACAGTCACCACTTCCATTGCTGTTCGCTCATTAAAAAACATGTGTTGGGTTAAAATCTCACTAAAGCTCTAACAATTTGTTCTTTTTGAGTTAATTCCTGTGTATAGAGTGCATCTGGAGCAGAGCTGCTGAAAGCAGCATGGTGAGATTCAGCTCTGGATGAAGACGTTCGTGGACATATCGCTGAAGACTGACATTGTGCACACACTCCCCAGTCATCCAAATCCTGCTCTGGCAGCGGGGCTGGACTAAACGATCTTTCAAGGTCGCTTCCAACCCCTGACATTCTGTGATTCTGTGATGCCCTGAGGCGAAGTACTTACTTGTTTTCCTTGGAGACCCTGAGGACCTCTCGGACCCACTGGACCCTATTGAAAACATACTGTTATACAGCGGCAACCACCCCTCCCCAAGCAACATTCATCCTACATCAACAGGAAAATGGCTTGACGTGATGTCCAAGATAACGCTTCCGTGGTCAAACCCTCTGAAAAGCTTTTACTCCGGAGAACAATGTTGTGATATATAAAAAAAAAATAGAACCGAAATCTTCAAACTCAAAAAGCCACAGGGTTGTAAATTTGTTAGCAGCTGAAAATATGGGCTTCCTCATTTTCTGGAACCAGTTAGAATAACTGAGTTGCTTGCAGAGCTCTGCTGAAAAAAAATAGTAGCAACAGAACAGAATTGAGGGGAATAGTCTTCCCTTGAAGGGAATGTCATTACTCCGGTTAATCTCGTCATGGAATCAATGACAACACAAATTCATGCTGCTGTTCTCAGCTGCAAACAGCAACAAGCAGCGATGGCAGGACATATTTGCATGAATAATACAAACCACTAAACCAGCTTTCAACCAGCTGTGGTTTGTCACAGAGAATGCATATTTCCCCTTAAAAAAGATTGATGGGATTTTTAGCGAAAATCTCATGCTTAATTGTAATTCATACCATGACGTAAACATAATCTTATCTGAAAGCAACTCTCTTGTTTCTAGAAATACAAAAATAGCTATAGCAGAGGTTAACTCCTATTTTGATAGAAACTCCAGAATTGTCTCTAACAAACCATTATTTTTTACTAATTTTTATCAAACACATGTAGAAGACAGAGTAATTGGCCACTGAAAAATTCAAATCAACTCTAAAAACAAACTAAAAAGCACTGCCTCAGCTGAATGACTGTCAGTTACCCAGTTAACAAGGGAAAGGAAAGAAGGGTATCACAGAACTTGATGAATCAATCCAAAGAGCGAGTGAGCACCAATGGACTTCAGTAGACTTTGTGTAAGGCCTTAGAGAGACCTAGATCTTGAAAAGCAGAGTAAAAGTGATGTTAAAAGAAATCATATTTGAGAAAGAAAAAAGAAGAGGAGGTACAAGAGGTGCAATGTCTTGAGAGTAAGCAAATTAAGCAGATTAAGCAAAACGATGGAGGGCAACAAAGTAGTAGAGACTCGTGGAATAAGTCATGGTATGGGTGCAAAGCAAAAAGTCATAAAAAAGGAAAGGTCTTCGAAGAAATCCTAAGGCAAATCATCAGATTATCTTTAGGAGCTTTTAAGTTGTATTAAAACTGAGTTGAAGGTTACCAGTGGGGACTTGGAGGGGTAAGACTCAGACAGGGAAAATTACAGAGAATAGAGTCACTGAAGGATTGTCTCCTTAAGAATGAATATTAAAAATAACAGCAAAGAGGGCAACAGCATCTTCAAGACATCGCGTTGTGATAAACGCCCTTAATGAAAAGAGATGGTATTCAAACCCCAACAGTTCTGGCAGAAACAGCCAAGGGTGGTGAAATGGCTTCCACAGATGCTAAAAAATTTCAGTGTTACCATTAAGTCCTCCCAGTGCACCAAAAGTAAAGGGCATTGTCGAAACAGCGAGAGATGACAATGTTAAAACTGGACCCACTGGAGAAATGGAATGTCTGTCTTAAAATGGTGAAGCATAGCTTTCAGTTAACAGCTGGTTTCAAAATTTTTTTTTTAACTACTACCAGAAATAACTGTCTTTGATGTAACGATGTGAAAACAAGCCTTCAAAAGTACGTATTTCTTCATTTAGCTTTGTGATATACTTGATGCTTTTCAGTTACTCTGCAGTGACTCAAGATAAGAGAAGATCAGGAGCTTTTTTTTTCCTGTAGCAAGCTGCTATATTCCAGGAGGAGGGAAGGAAAACAGCAAGAAGGCTAGAGATCCCCCATTTCTAAGAAAAAACTTTCCCTTTAACAGAAGACTATTTTTTCACTTTTTTTTCCAGGGACTGTGCAAAACCACACCATACATCCAGGTTCTAGAGGCACAGGAAGTTGAAAAGGATGAATTCTCCTTTTGTTTTTCCACTTATGCACTTCCACCCTGTTCTACAGTACAGGGCTAATCAGGTCTTACCACCGAGCCAGGCATCAGGCCCATCTGACTCGCAAGTCCGGATTTCTCATCCAGTCCTGCCATCTGAGCTGAAAAGGGCTGAAAAAAAAAAAGAGTGATTTTAGCTGTCAGTCCTTTTGATGGTTCATACAGCAAAAATCCATGCAATCGAATCTCCGTTGTTTCCAACACTGAGAACTAAATTCTCTCTTTAATTGTTAAAATAAGTCTTTCCTGTAAACTTGAAGTGGCAAATCCAAACAGAGGAAACCCTCCCATGAAATCAATTAGATTTCTTTCACTGCCTTCAAATTTGAAGCACGCCTGCAATGCTCTTTCACGTCTTCTAAGCCCCTCTTTTGTTTTCCCTTATTGTGGTTCAAGTTCAGAAATATCTTAAGGTAAATGGCAATGTAGCTGATTCTGCAACTCCAATCAGAGTTTTTAAGCGTGTTGCCCTTATCCAGGAACACTGAAGGCCACTGCCTTCATGTCAGCTCACAGAGACAAAGGGGTTAGAGCAGGGAGAACCTCCAGCAAGCTCACAGGTGAAATCTACAGTTTTACTTTGCTTCATTCAGAGCAAGAGCTTATAGCGACTGAGAAGAAAGAACAGCACCAACGTGCATTCAAGTTCTTCTAAGATTTACAGCTTGTTCCATCTGATTGGTCCTCAAACACATCTTTCCCGAGGCTGGAGATCACCAAACTTCAGAGACGGGAACACAAATCAAAAATGTCGTAAATCTTTGGCCACATCTCTTCTTTCATAATTTCTATCAAAATCTCTGAAGGATGGTGGTCTAAATACTATCCTGGTGCTTCTGTGCTTCTAAGGGATTCCTCTGTGCTAAAGACATTTACTTGGGCTGAACTTGCTGGCTTGAGGACTATTTGGAAAGGTGGTTAAGTCAAGAAACACTGCCCAAACTTGTAAGCTGTTGGTCTACCGTGAATATTTCAGCTTGACAGTATAAATCTACTGTTTTCAGCAATGTTGCAGGAACAAGGGAGTGAGGAATCAAAACAGACATCTTCTAAACAGCAATGATGATGTAAACTGAATGTACTTGAGAAGCTCAAATATATATTTCGTTATCAATCATAATTAGTGCTCCATACAGTTGGTGGAGGGGGGTGAAGTCTTGCAGAACCACTTGTCTGTACCTATGGCTGGTTAGCACTGCTTTTCATAAACAATTCCTTACTTAATCTTCTCCACGTTGGTCTGAACAATTGCAACTAGAAGTATTCTTAACCACATTTTAATTTCTCTCATGAGTTACACTATTATTTAGAACTCATTTTTATTTTCTGTATTCCTAATTTGGCACTCCAGTTTTCCTATACTATTGCTCAGATCCCCTGGGTTTAAGTCAGGTGGAAAGCAAAGGAACCCTACTGGGGATTTCAGATTAGGGTACCTTGGTTTTTCCAGATGCTAAAATCCATTGTGAAAGTTGCGTCCTTTCCGCGGCTTATCTCTCCCTGTTCTAAATTTTGGCAGAACCTGCACTGCCACTAATTGCTGGCCTGAATGACTGGGAGACAGGAACCGTGGGCACGGCATTCCACATGCACTGAAGCAAAGAGAAGTTACTCGTTGTGTAACGTGGATCTGGCTCAATGCTTACTTCACTTTCTACTAAACCAAGTGTAAAACTTACCCTGCTTAGTCCATCTGGTCCTGGGTGGGTAGGATGGCCTGGAGGACCAGGGTCACCAGGCTGGCCAGGGATACCAGGTTCACCATCAATCCCTTGAGGACCACGAGGACCCTAGGAAGAAAATCAGAAATGCCAACAGTGTGCAGAGGTACTCACTGAAGTCGTTGTAACTGGCACACAACTGCCTTGCTTGCGATCCATCTGTATTTCTAGAGAAAGGTCTTCAAATGTTCTTTAATATCGCCTGTTCATACCTCCAGACAAGAAGCAGCACTGGCTAAATTAGTCACAAATCCAACACAATGTAGAAATTTTTCTCGCAGCCTCTTTTAGAAACCCAGGCTTCCTATCATTCCATACTAGAGCACGGTATTCCTGAAAATCTCTTTAGCTTTGCACACAATACAGAATATCACAAATTTATTTCTGAAATGCATACAGCTCCAATGAGTGTATGTTGACACATGTGCTTAGGAAATCCCAGGGTAAGGCTGGATTTTTCCAGCCTCCTGACATCACAAATGTTTTGGACAGCTCATACTAGTGCCGAATTCTCAACGCAGTTACACTGCCAAAAATGCTGAGTTGCTCCCTTGGTGCTGATGTCACCTGTAGCTAGGATTTGCAGAACAGGCTAGGGAGCCACCCCATCGCTCCCATCTGGATCCCCCACTTTTGATTCCTAAACTGCAGTCAACCTGTCCTGTGTCAGAAATAAAATTAAATAGGGGAGCAGCTAATAAAACATTGGGGGAACAAAATCCGTGGCAAGAGGAACAGTAAAGACACACTTCAATCATAAATACAGCTTGTCACTGTCCTGCCTTCATTAGAATGAAATGCTCGACTGTGACGAGGAAAAATAATCTTTAAACGTTGACCTTCAGAAGTCTGGCTTCTCGATCTGTCCTCCTGGTCTGAAACTCCTATAAGCCTAGCTGTCAGGGGAAAATCTTTCTCTGATCAAACCCGCATGTGCAAACCCACACCTACTTGCAGAGTGAGCTGTGAATAGAATCATAGAATCATGGAATGGCCTAGGCTGGAAGGGACCTTAGAGATCATCTAGTCCAACCTCCCTGTTTTGGGCAGGGACGCCACCTCTCGACTAGACCAGGCAACACATGGGGACCGAGCGGGAACGGTGTTCTGAACCAAGCCAGAAAATCTGGGCACATTGGATGGCAGCAGAAGGCTTTAGCAGAAAACTTTATTGTTCAATATTTCTGTCATAAGCACAAGTACAGGCTGCCAAACCTAAAAGTGCATACTGTCCAGAGGTAAAGAATAAGTCATATTCTTTCGTTTCTCAAAATAAAAGGAAAAAAAAGCTAAGCATTAGAGAAAGAAAAGAAAAAAAAATCAAAACAGCTGCCTAAAACAAATTAAGCAAGCTTCTACACAACAACCACTGATTTTCAATATCCAGACCAAGGCACCTTAACAAAACCTGGTATAGAAAAAGGTCCTTTTTACCCTTCTCTTTATAAAAGGATCCACTCTTCAGCCACTAGTAATCAACTTGCTTCAGGTGCAACACTGCAACCTCTTTCTCAAAACCCCGAAAGGCAGGTTTGTATTTGTAGATGGCATCTAACCAGCGGTGTACAACCAGTGTACAATCAGTGTTTGGGGTTTTTAAATTAAAATCGTCATTATTTATGTTACATTATTATTTATATGAGTTATATATATTACGTTATATTATTATTATTGTTAATATTATTATCGTTATATGTTATATTATTATTTTCTATTATGTTACAGTATTATTTTTATATGGGATAAAAAAATAAAATAAATAATCCCTTTCATTTTCTTTCACCAGATCAAAATCTGTGAGGCCTAGACAAAAAAGGAGAACTATTCTCACAGAGGCCACGAGGTGGCATCATTTAAACACGAATTTACCCGCTCTGGCCATTGCCGCAGCTCTTCAGGGGACTATGACAGGTTTTGCCTGTACTGGAGTAAGAGAAAATGCAGGTAATGTAAGAACGCTCTCAAGCTACCGTCTGTTTGAACTGCTGCTGCAATTACAACCGCTTGTAAAGCAATATGGAAACAAGGCGTATCAATGGTTCGGAGGATGCTCAAGCTTATTTTCTGTCTTTAAAAGATCATTTGCGAACACCTAAAACTTTACAGTGCTCCAAAACTACTCCTCCCTAGCTGGCTTTTGCAAATGTGAACACGCACTTGCGACTTTTTCAAGTCCCAAGAAGCAAACAAAACGCTTGGAAATGTGCTTCGTGGTTTTGTGCTATCACCAGTCAGTAACGAATTCACCCAGATCGATTTTATAAAGGGTGTCTGCACAACATTACCTGCTCCATGAAGTATTTTAAACTGTAAACAATGCACAGAATAAAAACTGCATGTGTGAGCTAACTTTTTTTTTCCTCCCCAAGTATAAATGGAAAATCCTGCCCTAGCAAGTCACTCTTTGTTCTCAGACCTACTCTGACATACGCACAGCAGCTCAGCAGAACCTTTGACGTATTATTTTCGAAAAAGCCAACTGCTTCCTAACCCCAAATATAATAACCTGTCTCAAAGGAATACAAAACTATTTACAGCCTTTAGGTGCTTCTAGTCACCACTTTGTAGAGACATACAAGAGATGCACGGCACGGAATCAGAAATTATTTCACATTTCCTCAATAATGCTGCACTTGAGATGCCTCTATAAATGCAGGCGAGACTCTTCCACGCAAGATTTCACAATTACTGGCAGAATTTTTTCAGGCATCCTTGATACTCATTCATCAGACAAACGTCTTACGGTGACCTAGAGAGCAGCAGTGGCTTGGCACCCCTGTCTCGAAGAGGATAGTTGGATCTGCTCCTCTGCTTTAGAAGAAGCGTCATTACCATCTACGGACAACAGGCACACGCTGGAGGAACGACAGCACAAAGGAGTCGGTTTTAGGCTGGCTAAACTCAGCATTGGCTTGCTCTCTCCTGAGGGATAGGAAAACACCCACCCAGAAATTACCAGACAGCTCTTTAAAACACACTTTTAGCAGCTTTCTGCTCTTTGACCCAGCTTTTTCGACAGGAACGTGTCATCTTTGGTATTTTCAGCACTCCCTTTTAGCCTTTCTGTGGTTCTCCACACGCAGACACTGAAATTCCCTTATGAAGTCTTTATTTCCACTGAGCAGCCTCGATCAGCTTATTCACCAGCATACCAACATATGCAGTCACACGTTAACTCCTGCTGACTTCCTGAGCGTTGCCTTTTCTGAAATACTCGGAACCACACGGCTCACGCTGCTTCCGATGCACAGCAGCAAACAGCAAAAAGTCAGCAAGTTCGGAAAGACGATGTTCGACTTTTGTGGCGTGAGTGTTCTCTGTGTGTTTCTCTTAAATCCTGAAGAAAGCCATACTCTCAGATATTACTTCTGGAAATACTGCTAAACCTTTGTCAGCTATTTCAAAATATTCAGGTTTCAACCTAGCCGGGGAATGGTGAGATATAAATGGATTCTTTTGGTTGCTACCTGAGTCTTGGAAAATATGAGGAAAGTTCTAGTAACTAGCAAGCATGGAGGCAGTTTAAAACTTTTTGAGGTTAGACCAGTATTTGATTTTGGAGATATTTAATGACTTACAGGTCTTCCCTTTGGTCCTCGTTCTCCTCGTGGTCCTTGTGAGCCTGGAGGTCCCTAAAACAAAGATTAGAAATCTTAAGTACCTTTTAAATTAGCTAATGATTACTAAAGCTCGGGATGTGTGAACTGCAATGCTTATTTCAAAATTATTTTGTACTTTTGTTTGGGTTTTTATTTCACATCCTTGCACAAAGGTCCACAGACACGCACGGTCTACAATCACACATCCCTTCGCTTGGCCTCACCTGAGCCTAATCAAAAACCCCATTATCTTGTAGCCTCCCCAAATCAAACAGTTTCGCACTTCCCATCACCCTCACGACACCAAACCGAGAGGGCAGAACGCGGAAAACGCGATCATCAGAGAAACTGCAGATGAAAAAAAATACTCACGGCTGGTCCCGGGCGGCCTCGGATTCCTGAAACCTAAAGGCAATACAAATTAAAGTGAGCAGACTGCCTTGTGGTTGTATTTCTTGTGGCTATCCTACAGAAAATTAGACATCGAAGAGGAAATAGCAGGGCTTTTTGGGGAGGGGGGAAATAAATAAATAAATAAATAGATAGATAGATAGACAGATAAACAAACAGATAGATAGATGGATAGATAGATAAAATACACACAAAAAATCCACTCTCCCTTTTTAGGGCTTTTCAAGATAAGGATAAATAAACAAACAAACAAACAAACAAACAAATAAATAGGCAGATAGATAGATAGACAGATTAAATACACATAAAAATTCCACTCTCCCTTTTTAGCTTTGGATCTTTTTATAAGCAATTAGAGCACAATATTGGAAGTATCATTGTTATTCTAAAAAAACTGAAATATTCTAAAAAAGTTGAAATAAGTAAATTACAATGATTTAGTCTCAACTTATTCTTTTAATTGCCTTCATGCTAAATAAATACAGAAAGTAACAATTTATTTCACCAGTTTTCTCCGGTGTCTCTACACTTTCCAAATACTAATTTACCATTAACTATAAAAAATAAAGATTACGACAACACACCTCAGTAAGAATTTTTCGCAAATGCAATCCAAGGCAAGGATTTTTAATGTTACATGTGTGAAACAGCATAATTAATTCCATTCCTTTCATTCCTAGGCTGCTTATTTTTGGTTTAATTTCCTTAATTGCTGCCATTTTGCTTTAAAGCCCTAAAATGGACACTTCCAGGGTGTGCTGATAAATGAGGACAAAAATGCACTTACAGGTGGCACTATTCCAGGTTCTCCTTTTTGTCCCTGTAGGAAAAAGATAACAAAACCATCAGATGGCAGAAGACAAGTGAAAATGCAATTAATGGTAGCCGTTTCACCGACACCTTCCCTGTGACAGTGACAGATGCTAAGACCTGTCTAAGGATACAACCGAGACTAAATTAAAGTACCTGCGAAAGCTAATCCGAGGCATTTTTAATGACTACGGATGCTGATTAAATGAAGGCTAAAAAATTATCAGCCTGAGCGCCTAACATACTGGCTGCAAGAAGAGCCAGAAGCTTCCCATGGTGTTTAAGTATCAAAACCCACGTTGCAATTCTGTTATTGAGTGGTTCGATTCAGACGAAATGTGAAGCGGAGAACCGCATTCAGACTCCATTTCTTCAAGGTATGAAACTAAAATTTGTAGCATTAAAGCTACGGACAATAAAAACCTGCAGCGAAGGGCCAGGACACAAACCGATAGTGCCCGGAGTGAAGGACACAGCCTTTGCCATCTGACTTGACTGAGCTGAACGTGTTAGCAATGATGAAATAACTGAGTTTAGACCTACTGGTGGCAACCATTTTTAAAAGGAAAAGAAAAAAAAGAGGGCTTTGTAAAGACAAAAACCTTCCTACTTCCTAAAAGTTTGCTTTAACAGTTGCAATACAAATGTTATTTGGTTTTTTTTTAAAAAAAAAGTCGTAAAGGAAATCTTACCTTTCTTCCTCTACCTATTAAAAAGGAGAAAAGAAGAAAAGAGAGGAAATTATTGGCTTTGTTCTGAGAGGTAGAACAGGTGAGGGTGTTGCAGCGAGAGCCACCCCCGATGCCGGATGTCCAGAAGATGCTGTGCGGGAAGCTGGGGACATTCCTGGGGACCCAGGGGGGAGGAAACGGAGCGGTTCGCAACGATGTTCCCTGATCCTCAGCCTTTTTCACCATTGCGTTGAGGCTGGCAAGACTCTGAAATAAATTGCCCAGCAAAGCTGTGGCTGCCCCCTCCCTTGAGGTGTTGAAGGCCAGGCTGGATGAGGCTTTGAGCAATCTGGGCTGGGTAAGGGCGTCCCTGCCCATGGCAAGGGGGTGGATCAGATGATCCCGAAGGTCCCTTCCAACCTAGGCCATCCTAGGATTCTATGAAAAAAAACCACTTTAAGAAAGCAATACAGGCAATGCTGCCGGTTCCACAACATAATTGCACAGTGCTTTTTCAAAAGATAGAGCTGGCTGAGGTATTTTTGACCTTTTCTTGTTGGAAAAGCACACCATGCCCGCTTTCAGAGCCACATTCGCAGCCAGGAAAACCCTTCAGAGGAATATTTTGTTAACACCTTCACGAACAGTAAGGAATTCTGGAATGCATCCATCCTTGCTTTTATATTTGCTGGGTGGATCTTATTTGCATTGGCCTAATGCCTCCCAAAACACAGCAGGATGCACCATCTCTTTATTAATGCTCGTCACATCTTGCTCCGTTGCCCAATTACACAGGTCCCTACTACATGCTCTTTATCACTATTTTGTTCTATATTAAGCTAATCAACAACAAGTGTATCTCCTGAAAAAACTGCTTTAATTAGTATATAGAGAATGTAGTTCAAATGATTCAATACATGGGAATAATGAGAATTAATTGCAAGGTAAGAGACTTTCTTTTGGGAAAACTGAGGAGATAGCTTCCTCCAAGTCTCTCCAGGAAGACCAAATGGACTGGAAAAGGCATAATCTTTACAGTTTATAACAGAAAGTATGCAAACAAAGAGTTAATAATGTTTCATGCTAATTCTTGTTTTCTTCTGCTCACAAAAGCATCACATGTCCATGTTTCTACTTTGGGGAAACACTTCGTAGTCTTTATATTTTACTGTTTACATATAATGTTTACATTTATTCATCTATGGGAAGGGCCTCTAACTGACCGTTTTACTGAAGCACACAATTTATTATGTATATTTATATAATTACTATCTATTTATCTCAATAATTTTACTATACTTATTTATCTTAACATTATTTATTTTGCACCACAAAAAAGAGGCCAGAATTCAACTTCTTTGAAACACCGAGTCACAATTCAGATCAACTTGTCAGCTATAAAGCCATTTGGGCTTATATCGGATTCACAGGCAGATGAAAACCATTTCCAGAGCCAGCTCAGGTGCAGCCCAAGGTGGAAGGCAACTGCCAAGCACCTGCTCTCTTCAGATTTAAACTTCCACCACGGAAGTGCTATTAGAAATATCAATCTTACCAATGGTGCCATCGAAGTCACGCGTGGTGTGGGGACAGACGGGACAGCACTCTCCTGGGGGCACCTGCGGGTTCTCACACTCCAGCGCATCTTGACACTGGATTTCATCGCAAAGGATGGCTCCGTTGTCGCAGACGCAAATTTGGCACGGTGAGGGCTTCCAAATATCCCTGTTCAGGTACATCTGGCCATTCTGAGTGCAAGCTATTTCTTCGACATCTTCTCCTGGTGTAGGAGAGAGGATATACAAAATATTTGCCAGCTGTGAAGCCAGAGGAGCACAGGTAAACTCACGAAACCAAAATATGTGCAATAAAAAATTTAAAAAAAAAAATCAAGTAGAAATGTTTCTTTGGGTATCCAACATTTTACACAATGCCCTTTCAGCAAAAAAAAGAAAAATTTTCACTTGGGCCCAATGAGTATTTCATCCTCTAAATGAACACAAGTGCTAGCAAAAGCAAGGAACTGCCTTGAGAAAATGGGTCAGAAACCTGCAAACCAAGAACCCCCATCCAAAGACACTTTCCTCTGAGTCACACATTGCAAGGCTGTCACAAATAGTCCAGAATTATTCTCCTGACCCCTGGAACGCTGCAGGGAAGACCAATATTACCTGGGTGGGTGCTCCATCTGACTATAAAAACCTTCCTATCAAAAATGTCTTTGAAACTGGAAAATCCAGATAAGACCATTACTTGAAAATTCCCAAACAGCCCTAATTTCTAACTGATACAAGATGGGGAATAGGGGCAATTTGTACATACATACATACATACACACACACATACATATACACACATATGACAGATCCCACTAGTCAAAGACCACAAGCATTATTTTTTGAAGAAAAACCTGTTCTTAGTGTAAAAATTAACAGCATGAGGACAGTTTCACTCTTCTGTGCAGTTCTGCTCTAATTTAAACCAGATGTAAAAAGAAAAAACACAAAGCAATAAACGCAAACAGATTTGGAATTTCAGCTTCATGCCTTAACTCAAGTCCAGTTGCTCCATCAATGTCAAAACTGGGAGAAATGGAGCAGATGTGTCAATAACTATCGCCTGCCATCACCCATTTCTGCGACTTTCTAACAGGAACTGAAATCCAAATTTGTACCAGGTCAGCTCCCCTCTTCCGGCAGTGTATCATGTCAACTGACAAAACGACTCAGAGGGGTGCTGCAGAGGCTCAGGAGGAAATGGTTTCGGTGTGAAGCAAAGACATCAAACCGAGTGTGCTGTACAGTCAATTTATGACACTGTGAGAATCATTTTCCAAAGTGCAGATCGGATTTTGGAGAGCGCTCTTCTCACTTCTCCCTTGTGTGCATGACATAACACGCTGTCTGACATATTTAGCCTTTTCCCTCCAGATGTCTGGCATATGCTCAAAGTCTTCCTCAACGCAGAACTCGCCGTGCTGCTCAGACAAGCAGCAGAAATGAAATTTCTAAGTTACTGAGCCCCAAGTCAGCACTCTGTTGAAACTTCAAATAAACCTCATAGCAACTGCTTTGGCAAATCAGCGCTGAGCCAGATGGGGACTCGCTTCTGCCGGGGTCCCGCTTGGCAGCCGAGAAAGAGGCAGGAAAAGGCAGGGGCAAAAAACCACATACCAACCACTGGAAGCATACCAAGGAGTCTGTTTTCCTATCAGATTGCAGATGTGCTGAAAATAGTGACAATAGTAAAAAAAAATAATAAAAAGGAAACCAAACCTACCCTACCATACCATCAGAAAAACGTATTTTTAACCTTAAAACTCTTAATTACATTTAGTACTTCTAGTTTTCCTTTCTGCTGTAATGCACTGAGAGGGGAACCTGAAAAGAGCAGCTATTTCGACGCCAACCCATCCCACAAGCATATTCTGACGTTTTACTCCCAAGCATGTTATTCATCTACACCCAGACCGGGAAAGGCAGCAAAGGAAATTGTTCCATCATTTCCTCCCCGGTTTGGAAATCTGCAAGTTTTTGTAATTATAAAGACCAATTCACAAACTCTTTCTTGTCGCACGTTCTTTCCACCTCTGCAGTCGTAAGACAAGGCACTAAATGGCTTGAGAGGCAGCTCTGAAATCCTTAGTGTGGCAGAAGGACCTGCTAGCCCATTAACCAATTCCTTCCTTACCACCAAAAGCGCAACTGGAATTGACTACAGCATTGCGAATCCAACAAAGCCGGCGAAAATAGCTTCAAAGCAGTGAGCAAACATAAAAGGTAAGGCAGGGGAAATACTCGGTGACATATTTAAGGACTCACAGCTTGCACAAAGGACTTTTGTGAAAGAGGTTTTCAGCGAAAAGCACAGTAAGTTCAATGCAATTATTTTTCTGCTATATATCGATCCGCTGGAGCAGCGCTTTTGCTTTAAAGAACTATTGGATGGAAATTCAGGCCATCACTGATACCTGAGACACTCAATCATCACACTCGGAGACTGCCTATCAACAGCACCTAAGAATCACATTTTTTGTGACGACACTGAAATTGCACTAATTACAAGGGGGAATTTGGAAAGCAACACCTGAAAAGTCATTGCTGCTATTTCAAGTTTCCTCCTCGTTATCGTACTCTTACCTCTTGCATTAAATTCTGGTTTGCATCTTGCCTGCGAAGAAGGGAAGGAAGGCTCAGGCATGGGAGGAACACTGTGTCTTGAGCAAAAATATTTTAAACGTGTGATGAAATACAAGATTACCTAGATGCGGCGGTTCTAACTTTTGAACAAACAAACTTTCTGGAATATGAAAAGCTGAGTTTCAAGCTCTGAACGGCAAAATTTAAGCATGCTGACTCACAAAGCAGAGGTGCAGAAGTAAACGGAAGTGAAGGACGATATGTGCTAACAAGCATTTTGCAGATGCAGCCTTGTGCGCGTGTACACAGACCGCCAGGGGAGGGATGAGAGGAGCTTGGTGTTAATAATCTTTGATCCAGTTCACATTAAATCCATGGGAAAAACCTCTCCAATGAGAAGTAGCCTGCCTGCTTTGTTTATCTTTTCATAACTCTTTGGGGGAGTGGTAATAAATTATCCAAATTACTGTGCCATGCAAATTATAATGCAAACAGTCATTATTACAAAAATCAGATACTTTTCAGGAGTGCTGACAAATACAAAACCTATTTTGCATCTGTTGCCCAGAAACAATTCTTGTTAACAGTGATTTACACACACAGCTTGCACAACTACTTTACGTGCATGAGGATGAACCTGGAACCCTTTACCCATACAAGACAGAATTGAATCACAATTCACTTAATATGAAACATTTGATTGCCGAAATGACATCAAATCCGCATTCAGATATTTCCATTCGGGATACATCAGACATCTCCCCAAACTTAAATAACAGCTACAGTACAACAGCGCACTTAAATCCAAATAACTTGGCATTCTCTCGACCACTAATGAGGTCTGTAACACGGTGTTAATTCACTAAGGGTTACAGAACTTAAATGTTCTCTAAGTGGCTTCAAATTGAGTTTATGTCTCCCTGAATAGCCAAGAGAACAAGCAACGAATGACACACACAGACTCATCAAGAGTATCATGCAGAGGATTTATTCATTTATTACAGGACTGTCTGAAACAATAACTAGGATTCACTGGTCTAAAATAGGACGACTTTCTCAAATTCCGTGGTTCTGTGTCAGCTTATGCCAGCTGAAGGTTATGGATGGACATTTTATTCCACATTTCTCCTGGGGTTTCCTAAGGAAATTTGGTTTCTGTGATCCTGGTCGCACTGTGACAACTGTCCAGCAGCTGATTTCAGCCAGGTTTGACACAGACCTTGTGAGAGATCAGGTCAGTAGGATAACTGTGCTCCTGTAAAGTTTGTCAAAATACACAGTTCAGAAGAGAAGGGAGTTCCAGGTTAGTGGCCCACCAAGGCTAACTTGTAAAACAAATCCCCTTCCTTATATTTTTGGGAATGCAGACAGTTTAAAACACAAACCTGTAGGATAGTAGGTTCCATCAGAACCCTATCTTAGGAAAGGAGGTGGTGGGGTTTTTTTAATCCAGTCTGCAGAGTGTCTTGTTCCAGAAGTTGAAAAGTCCCGAGGTGTTCTCCTAAATAACACAAATAATTATAACACATGTATTTTAAGACTAGAAGATTACAGACTGAACTGGTTTTTTTTTTCTGCAAAGTCCACAAATAACACTAGGTATGAATAAATATTGCTAAGTATCAAGGTGCAAGTCAGCTCCCAAGCAGAGACTCAATTAACTTGAAATTGCTGTAACATTTAACCAAAGCCATACCAAAGACATACGCTTCGGGGCTGGCACTACTGGCATGGAGATCACCCTGCCCTGACTCAGGAGAGGAGACAACCTCCCAGGTAAAGAGTTCTCTGTTGTCTGGCAATTGGGTTTTGCCCCTTCCAGAAATTTGTGCCAAAACAAATAATTCCATTTTCTACTCAGCACTGTGATACCAGATTTGGCTGAATAAGGAAAACTGAAATGGAAAAACTATACTTAGGCTCCTCTGAATGAATTTTAAATTAACATCCAAAGGATAGAACTGCTTTTCCACTGTTTTCTTAACTGGATGGAAACAACACTACCCACATGCTGGATTCAAAGGCAGAACACACTGCGATCCCTTCCAGTAGAAAGGACTTCTCTTGCTGGTCCCACAGCACTATCCAATGTTTATTATGCTGGTCAGTTCCCTAAGAGCATCTGATGACGTTGTATCTGCACAGCTCGGAGGTTCCTGAGCTACTGAACAAGACTCAATCCTTCTAAACAGCTTGTCTTATGCCACGGAAAGAGCAGAGAACCGCACAGCTGAGATACTTTGCTGGAAGACTGGCCAGGCTGGTCCTTTTCCATTGATTACTCTGCAGTCTGGGACCCACGTCCTTCAAAAGCGCTCAGTTAAACTAACTCACTGGAGTATCGCATCACTCTAGTTAGATATCAACGTGGTTTTACTTTGTTTTTCTCTGGTTTTACTTTGGTCCACAAGTAGGATGGCTGGACACGTTGCTCAGTGCCTGGAGAACAGGGCGAAGGAGGGAGGTTGAGCTGCCGGCAGTGCCTGTACAAATACTCTCAGATGACAGCAATGAATCCTCAAGCAGACAGTGGGAAACAAAATTACTTCCAAATGTCTGAGGCGGAACAAAAATTGTAATGGGGAGGCATTCGGGGCATGCCTGAGAAAACACTGCTGCAGTTTTTAGCAGTGGGAGCAAATCGGTCACCGGCTGGAGTCACTGATGGGATGCCTGGT